GAAGCAAGTTCATCATTATCCAACAATCAGTAGCCAACAATCAGTAGCCAACAAAGGCAAACAAAGATTCAGAAGCAAGTTCATCATTATCCAACAATCAGTAGCCAACAAAGGCAAAAAAAGATTCATAAGCAAGTTCATCATTATCCAACAATCATTAGCCAACAAAGGAAAACAAAGATTCAGAAGCAAGTTCATCATTATCAAGCATCAGCAGCCAAAGGAGAAGAGAGAGATTCAGAAGCAATAAAGATTCAGAAAACAAAGATTCAGAAGCAAGTTCATCATCATCAAACAATCGGTATTCAAGCACTCAGAAGCAAGAGTAGTCTCAGAATAGTTCATCATCAACTCAAATTAGAGCAATAAGAAAGAGGTTTTCAGAATAAACTCATCATTAAACAACATAAAATAACAAATACCAGAAACGCTATCATCACGCTCCTCCTCCGCCTAGCCACCGAGAACGCTGCTGGTCCAACCCTCTTTCCCCTCCATCCATTTTCCAGAAGCCAATCGCCAAGGTATGATCTTTCTTCCAAAAAAAACATAACTGCATCTTAGACGCAAATACCATGAATTAAAAGATGAAACAATAAAATGTACAAGAATCATACAATTGCAAACTGTAAAAAACGCGTTTGGAATAAAAAAAGATACCTTCTAAACCACCGCCTCGTACCGTCATGGAGAGGAGATGAATGAAGGTGGCGCTCTGGCGGCTGGAAGGTTGGAGGAATAATCGAAGCTTCGCCTGAGAGAGAAGATGAGAGAACGAATAAGAAGAGGCGTCGCTGTACCAAAACTATAAACCCTAGATTCTGAATGCACTAAACATTAACCCTAACAAAATTTGTCAATATTCCTAATGGGCCTTCTCCCAACAGCCTAAGCCCAAGCATTTTCCAGCGTGAACACCCCCTTTTTTTCTCTCTAGACCTTATTTCTCTCCCTTCCTTGCCTTGGGCCTGCTCCTTCACAAGCTCATAAGGCTCATCATCTTTTTTTTTTACTCCATTTAGTTTGAACTAATACTTTTTTATCAATATTATTTTCATTTTTTTTACAATATAATTCTTTTTCTCTTATTGTTAAAAAATATATTAAATTTTTGTATAAAATTTTCTTAATAGTTTTCCTTATTATTTATTACATTTAATAACACAAAAGTACATAAATAATAAAACTATAACTTAAATAATTTTTCTTTTCTTTAAAAAAACTCTTTATTTACATAATCAATAAAAAACACAAATAATAATAATAACACTTAATCTTCACTAGGTTAATTTTTTATTTGATCATTTGTAAATAAATACATGCATCCCATATCTCTTTGATTTTCTTTACCTCATGCTTTGTTATAATTTTTACATTGAAAATGCGACAGTTCAATTTGGTTGTAATATATACTTGGACATTATTATTCTGATAAGACTCATCCCCATTTGTAAATATTTGTACCCCCATCCCCGGATACTGTTTTGTATTTGGACTTTAAATTCCCGCAATTTCTCGCTTTCAATATAATGTATAGTAATTAGGGTTTGTATGCGAAGATTCAAAATCAATCGCTAGATAATCTAATACAAGATAAATGCATGAAAATCAATACACAATTCACACTTACACCTCTAGGGTAACCTCGCTTGTTGCCTCAGAAAATACAATCATGTCCCTCGAGTATGAGACACTCTAGCAAATGCCCCTTCAATAAACAAAGATCGTAGTCCCTCGATGACCCTCGATGTTGCCTTCGATAAAACGATCCCGTCCCTTACAAAATTGCTAGAGCGTCTCACAAGTTGCTTTCAATGGTTGTATACAATGACCCGCGCCTGTCCCGTTTAACATCCTAACACAAGGTTGTTCACCAAATATAATGGTGAAACAACACTGTTAAAAAGGGTTAAAAACATAAGGAATATCTTTGAGTAAAATAGGGTAGACAACTCTTAGTTACTTGATCAAAAAATCTTGCAAAACATCCTTGCCATTTTCAAACACACTTCACAACACAACTTTCAAAATATTGAAATATCTTTCCAAAAAGACACACACCTTTGTAGATATTCAAACAAGAATCATTACAAAGGTTTCCTAGACAAGGCATCTTTTTCAAAACATTTTCAAACACACTTCACAATACAACTTTCAAAACATTGAAATATCTTTCCAAAAAGACACACACCTTTGTATATATTCAAACAAGAATCATTACAAAAGTTGCCTAGACAAGGCATCTTTTTCAAAACATTTTCAAAACCGCACACACAAAGCACCATTGCAAACAAATTGAAAAGCAAAGGCAAGTGATCTAAAACAAGTAACTAAGAGCCCATGGATAACCATGGATGAAAAGGGTGCTAGCACCTTCCCTTTTCATAATCTACCCCCTGAACCCAAGAAAACATCTCAAAGGTCTTTCCTGTGCTTTTTGACCTTTCCTTTGGATAAAATAAAAAGTCGATGGCGACTCTTGCTAAACCGAACAAGTGCGAACACAAACGCAAAACCTCAAGTCAGTTCTCCCACCGTATCACACCGAACAATCAACAACACAGGGTAACTTATTTGAGCAGAAATGATGCATATAACTACCTTGTCCAAGTCTGGTCAGAATGCTTGAAAGAGTAACTTGTCAGGATGATTAAGAAGGTCTCAAGGCTTGAGGATTGTTTCAAAAGCTTCAGGAGGTTGCAAGGAAGCGGACTGAAATGAAGAATGTTGCTAGAAGAACTTGAAATGAAAACACAATCTCACACTTTTTGGAGAATTTTTTTGAATCGAAGCAGAGTTTTTTGGGACATTGGAAGCTTGAAATTGTGAAGAATAGCTTGTTCTATTTATAGCTGAGGTGAGAGGATGCAATATGTGTGAAGAATGATGCTCAAACTTGTGAATCCATATGCACCAAAAGTGTGACAAATCTTGAATGAAATGTTACCAAAACACAACACATTCCTTCATATTTTGGGTTGTTTTTTATCCTTGCATATCACTTAACATCACCAAATTCTAACCACATGCAAAATTTGGCTTGAAATTGGTGATTGAAAATTCCGACCATGTGCGATTTTCAGTCCCATGGAACCAACTTCAAACCATCGTGAAATCTTGTACACTTGGCCTTTAATGCTCATACTTTTTGCAAAATAATCACATAATAACAAAGAATACAATGTGCCAAGAAAATATTAATTTGGACACTTGAACAAAAACTTATGAGCTTGTAAAGTCAGCATCATGGCCTATAATTAGAGGTCCAAAATAATTTTAAGTCCAAAATGACCTATAATGTCTTTAAACTTTTCATGGCTTTCTAAGCATAATTGGCTCTTGATCCATAAAACAAACTTGTATAGGGAATCAAATATGATAATTGGCAAAAAGAACCGCCCATAAAATTTAAAAAATGAGAGAGTTATGATCTTTGGAAGTTAGACAAATAACACTTGAGTTTAGGTCAAATTTCACTAAGTCCACAAAATGACCTCTAATGTTGCTAAACTTTTGATGATCTTACAAGCATAATTGTCTCTTGACTTGTAAATGGAACTTGTAGAGGATGTCAAAAGGAGTCATTTTCCCAAAGAATCACTAAAAAATGTTGAAAAATGAGTGAGTTGTGATATTTTGAATCTGAACTTGAAATGTTGACTTTTTAGGTCAAAGTACTTTGAATAAACTTGCAACCTTTGAATTTTTCTTGCATTTCAAGGCACGTTGATGCACATATGAATTTTACATATGAATCATAGGTAGAACTTTGATCGATCTTATCCAAAGCTTGAGGAAACTTGATGAACAAGACATGAAAATAAATACCAGAACCTTGAAGTTTCTTGAGAAACAAGCAACCACGCATGACCAAATGATGTTGAATGATGCTTGAAGAGATTGTGACATAAGATTATAGGTCATGTTTTGATGAATAAGCTCTTGGGAATCAATGGTTGACCAATTTTGAATTGGGGGCTCAAACCCTAATTTAACAACCATGCTTGATGTTCTTGATTCAAATTCATGTCTTGCAAAACAAATGAGAGAAATAAAGCATATTTTTGGATTTTGGTTAAGGTTAGTAAAACATACAGATATATAATCAAAAATCAAAAGATATACAAGAGAGTGCTTAATGACCTCCTCAAAACAAGACGCAAAGAGATGATTAGGAGGTAACCAAATTTGTGATCTTGATGATGATACAATAATATAAATGGTATGAAATTTTAGAGGTAAAAATTAGGATAGATATTATTTAATGTGTTAGGTTTTATTTCTCCATCCTTTTGTTTGTTATTCAATAATGTTTTCTTATTAATAAATGTTTTAAAGTATTTTTTTATCGAATATACGTTAAGAAATAAAAAAAAACAAAAAAAAAAGACTTCATATTCAATTAATAAAAAAGTTGTATTCAAAATAATAATTTTAATTTACTTGAAATTAAATACAATTTTTTTATTATTATATTTAAATTGGTTATTTTATTCAAACAATGGAATTTTAGTAAAAAATTAGAATTATAAAAGAAAAAGTCTAAAAATAAAAACCAAAAAAAAAAAAATACAAAATTAATAAATATTGAACTAGACAAAATAAGCGAGATGCGACATGACACACAACATTGATAATCATTGGCCACCGATTTTGATTCGAATTGGCTTTGTGTTGTATTCCATTGTAACTTGTAAGTAAACAATTCTTCATTCTTTCACATTTTCCCTTTTCAATTCAATCTTCCTTCTCTTGTTATCACGTTCCCATCACCACCACAACAATCACCTAGTTTTCCCCAAAAAAATTGTTTTTTTTTTTTTACCTTCATTCACAATCCATTGGAATAAATCACCCCCACCAACTTTCACTGTCACCCCTTTTTCCTGAGTGAAGAAAAGTTTCAATTTTTCTTCAGATCTTGGGCTAAAAATCAACCCCCTGAAAAACCCGTTTTTGATTTGTGTAGATGTGAGTTTTGAGAAGGGGAAATTCCAACAATGTTTGGTGCTGTTCAATTGGGGTTGTTTGCAGCATGTGTTGTGTTGTTTGTTCCAATGGGTATGGCTGGTTGGCACTTGAGTCGTAACAAAGTTCTATTTTTTAGCGGTGCACTTTTCATTACTCTTGCAGTTGGTGTTCATTTAACTCCTTATTTCCCTTCTGTTTCTGATATAATTACATCTGTTAAATCATCTTCTGTTGTTGATGATGTTGTTGTTGTTGAAGATCGTGATTCGTGTGTTTCTTTGCTTCATGAAATTGCGTGGGAGGTTATGCCAAGTAAGGTTTTTGACCCGTTTTTGAATAATAATTCTTTGAACTATGACAAGTTTTGGTCTTGGAGTAGAATGAATTCTGTTGAATCATGTGAGTTTCAGAGGCTTAAGAGGAATGATGTTTTGGATTTGCTTAATGGGTCTTGGGTTATGGTTGCAGGGGATTCACAAGCTAGAATCTTCACACTTTCTTTGTTGAGTTTGGTTTTGGATTCGGAGAGGGTCGAATCGGCTAGGAGTTTTTTGCTTAAAAGGCATAGTGATTATCACATTGTTGTTGATGAGATGGGTTTGAAATTGGATTTTATTTGGGCACCTTATCCTAATAATTTGACTAATGTAGTTATGGAGTTTAAGCAGAAACATTTGTATCCTGATGTTTTGGTGATGGGTTCTGGTTTATGGCACATGCTACATGTTACAAATGCTTCTGATTACGGTGTCTTGTTGAAGTTGTTAAAGAATTCTGTGACATCTATGTTGCCTGTTTCACCAAAATTCGGCAACGATGAACCTGCAATGGGATCTGTTTCGTCAGTTAGATCTCCGCATTTGTTTTGGTTAGGTATGCCGAGTTTGATAAACTCTATGTTGAATACACAAAAGAAGAGGGAGAGGATGAGTGATGTATTGCAAGGTGAGTATGAAAGGGAGGTGCATAAAAGTAGTATACTGAGGGAGTTCGGTGGTCCATTTCAACTACTTGATATAAGATCATTGAGTTTGAATTGTGGAATCAAATGTACAGATGATGGTATGCATTATGATGAAGCTGTTTATGAAGCTGAACTTCATGTTATGTTCAATGCATTGCTTATAGAATCTCATCAGAAGCTCTAAAGCTTTATCGTGCTTGTGTTTCAAAACAAAAGTTTCTATAGTTGCACCGAGCGTTAAACAGGAAGCTACACATTAGAGAGTTAGCTGGTTGTGTGGTGAGATGTCAACAAACATTGAAGCAAACATCTGCTATATGACTCTGATGCTTTCTCTGATGATGTGCCTGGCTCACTCTATGGTAAGGGAGATATACACTGTAGGATACACATAACGATTTTGATTATTAGAAGTTGAGTTTTTCTTCGATCATAGCTTGAAAATTTTCGCCAGGTTGGTTAGGGCCTCACATTCAATTAGTTTTAGAGTATTTTTTATAGCAAATCACATTTGAAATTCTTTTGTTTTTCCCTTATTTTTGTATTGTTCCACTGTAAGCTAACAGTTCATGTATTATTATTAGTCACAAAAGTTGGAAATTCAATTCTGTACAAACAGTTAATACATGCTTTTAACCACACAATTTTATTGGCATTCATTTCTAATTTCTTTAAGTGATTATCCTTTAGGCTATCTTGAACTTAGTTGCATATTGATGTATGATAATTTCTGTTCATTACAGTTTCTTTTTTGGGTCATCTTCATGCTGTGTTATGGTGGAACAGAGTCAGACTAGTTAATTTCTGAGATCAACCTTGAAACAACTGTTTGCTTTCTTAATGTGTAAATATATAGTAATAAAAAAAAGGCTTATGAAGTTTTGTTGATATGACTAGAAATAACCTCAGGGCTTAACAGACCTATTCTTGTATGATGCCATAAGGTTGAATCACCTTACCTCTTTAGGGTTTAGGTGATTTTTTTTGTCAAAACTCAGAACGATCATTCATTTTTTATATATTAAGGGTATGATAAACCAAATTCTGCAGTTTTTTATTAAGCAAATGGTGTAGAATAATGACTGCGAGGGGAGTATCTATATCTTGTTACCCACAAGTTCCTTTATTAGCTACTTGACCTGCAGTTAAAACTTAAAATGTTGCAGGCGTGTGCATACTTTTTGGCCTTGTCCGTTTAGTCCGCGTTTCTAAACTGTAGAGGTCGAGCTGCACGTATACCCGGCTCTAATGCAGTAATTTCTAGCAAAACTATTTATTGTTCCCTTATTATATACAGGAACTTAGTAGGGATATTTCAGCCATAAGATTGACATTGTACTAGAGATTGCAAATTTGCAATACTGATTGTATCCTATGTACTCAAGAAGAATATTGGAGAGTAGCATGTCATTAGTCTGATAAACTACCAGTTTGTCATATTCATAATGGAGAATCTTATACGGAGTATAATTTTCTATAAAAATAAAGAAAGTTTTGAAATTCATGCTCGTACAATTAAAGAAGTTTTTTTTATACTTGTATATTTTGATGAAGCTAACATACAACAAAGAGTAACTTTGAAGAAAAATGCAATGTTTATAGTTTTAAAAACTTAAAAGATAAAAAAAAAAATAGATTATCAAACATAATTATGTTATGCTTTACCCCTAAAAGTGTGGGTTATCTTTTGTGCCATAAAAGTCTTGTTGAGCAGATTGATGATGATTGACTACCTATAGAGTGTTGGAATCATCATAGAAATGTTCAAAGGAGAAATCTTGATATCATAGAATAAAACATAATCAAAATTATAATTTTTTAAAAAGTTGTATCTCAAAAATGATTTATATGAAAAACTATTTGAAATAACTTTAAAATTAAATAATTTTTTAAAATTTTAATATAGAAAAAAATTTCAATAAATTTTTATTATACAAAATTATATTATACTATAAAAATAATTTTTAAAAACGTTAAAATAAATGGGCTCATAATATGATAATGAAGATAAAATGATTAATTTTTTTGGGTAGATGTAAGATAGAGGTTGTCCAAGAATTTTGTAAATGTTATTAATTTGATACAACATATAAAGTTAAGGAAAACAAACAAGAGGGAGAAAAAGAAGGTCATACAAAACAAGAAAATAAAAAGAAAGAATTAGTTGAAAATCAAAAAGAGAAAGAGGATGTAGAAACAAAAGGAGAAAAAAAATAGAAAAGAGAAAGGTAGTTAAAAAAATCCCCTCATATGGAATATGACATATCCACGAAAGATAGTATGCCAAATTTCTAGACGTATCCTTGGTTTAGGTCTAAGAGTATCACATAATAGTAGATTAAGGAGAATTTAACTTTGGCACCTTCTAAGTTATATACGCCACCTCTCATATTTCGTAATCCCAAAAATATTCTTTATAAAAAAAACAATTTTTCCAAATTAAATTTTTGGTAAGATGGTGAAATTTCTTATATATACGAAATTTTCGGTAGTTCATTTGACATTTTTGATAGTTAATTTGATATTTTCGATAAGTTATAATTAGTTTTAGAAATTTCAAAATTTTTGATAAAATTTTGAAAATTTCGGTAGGACCTTTTAGAAATTTCGAAAATTTTGATAAATTTTCTCGAAATTTTTTAAGTTTTCGATAAATTCTTTAGAAAATTTCAAAATTTCTAATAAAATCTTTCGAAAATTTTAAAATTTTCGATAAAAATTTCAATTTATTGAAGAATTTATGATATGTGCTTGAAATTTCTGGTATCACCCGAGAGATTTTAAAAATTTTGGTGAAAATTTTAAACAAGGTGTTGGCTGAGATTTTCATAAAGAGAAAAATTCAAACCAAAAGTCAAAAAGGCTCTTTTAAGAGCATTAAGTTATGAGAAGTCAATTACATAAGCATGTCGACCATGGTTGATTTTACAGGCAGGTGATCAAGATTTCATAAGCGCAGTTAATCAGAGAAAAGTTTATGGTGAATGGATTGGACCTAGGGGTGAGAAGTCAAAAAGAGTTAAAAGGCCCATAAGCGCCTAAAACTGTAAAGGCGGAACATTATGGAGGAAGAACGTGGGTTCGACCACAATGAAGAATGTGGGTTCACAAAGAGAAGTTACAATAGAGAACATGCGTTTGTGAGGGGAAGTTGTGAAGAACACGTGGCACGCAAGGAAACAAAGCCCACTTAAAAAATAGTTATTTCAGTGTATTATAAATAAAGCACTTAATGCACTCTTGTAAGAGGTCAAACTTTTCACATTCATGCACGCTAGCCACTCAAAGTAACCAAGCGAACGAGCAAAATGAGTCAGGCAAAGGCAATGTATGTTAAACCAACCTATTTTACAACTTTCTTTAATGTTATGTCATTATCTTTTACAACTTAAAGCGCTTTTCGTTTCCTTTACTTTGTCTTTTTGTCTTTATCTTTTGCAATTTAAATACGTTTGGCTCTCAGTCGAACACACCCTTTTTGAAAACACTTTGACTACGCACGTGAACTGAAGCACGGCTCCAAGATTCCCTGGTCGATCTCGCATGTAAACTTGTTTTCAAGAGACCAACGTTGTTTACCAAATCTACGGGTAAACAAATTGGCACACCCGGTGGGACCATGCTAATATTTTTGTGTGTAGTTTCACAAAGTTCTTATAGTTAGTGTGTGTATGAATTTAAGAAGTGGTAAATTTTTGTCTAAGTCTAGAATGCCATGCTCTGACACAAACACTGTATACACGCATATTTCTACACAAAATATGGATGTTATATCAGTAAGTACCATAATTCAAAGTGCGATAGTTTTATCTCCCGTAGGATCGACCGCAGTTTCAAGTTCAGTGACGACAGTCACAATGACAGAACCTAGGCACGGGGTATCATCATTTGACCCCAATTGACCACTCTTTCCAGAGGGTTCAAGGTCATCATTTGTCCCTCACCAATATGGTATGCCTTATTCCATGATGGTTGGGTTACAGTTGAACCCTGCCACATATATAGAAAACACAGTTGCCACTAGAAACCAAGGCAGTTATGCCCCAAGTGGTCGAGTAGGTGGTGTTAGTTATGTCATTCAGTCGACGCCATCTTTGAATACTACAGCCATTATGGATTTAAGGAAACAGATGGATGAAATTAATTTAGAGTTAGTAAACGTCTTAACCCAACAAATGGGAGTCTCCCTAAACCATGTGGTTGTCCGAATAGGTAGATTGATTGACTCATTAGGGGTCTAACCAACTCAAACTCAAACACGCCACAGGCCGTTGAGGGTTTTTGAAGAACTAGAGGGGGAAATAATGAGCGTCCTTTTAGGCCTCGAAGAGTGGAAACACCCAGTTATAATGAGGAAGAATTTATTGAACAATATGAACCTAGGCCGGTCGTGGTTAGGAGAAAACAAGACGATGATCGAGTGTTAAGAAATTTCATTGTTGGATGTAAAAACATAGTGAATATGGTAGAAGAAGTACTAACACGACCCAGAGTAAATATTGGCCTCCGGAGGTCCAATTACTCTTCACCCTTGCATGATTACATTCGACAGGCAGAATTACCTAGAGGATATAAGGTGTCTAAGTTTACCAAGTTTGCTGGTAAGGCTAATGAGTCAACCATTGAACACGTTGCTAGGTACGAAACAGAAGCTAGCGACATCGCCAACGACGAGGGCTTAAAGTTAAGATATATTCCTAATTCTTTGACAAAGAATGCTTTCACTTGGTTTACAACGTTAACTCCAAACTCCATACGTACTTGGGAACAACTTGATGGGATATTTCATGAACAGTTTTATGCTGGTCAGCCTAAGATAAGTTTGAAAGAATTATCCTCCATTAAGAGAAGGTCGTCTGAGTCAATGGAAGAGTATTTGAATAGGTTTAGGGTCCTAAAGTCTAGATGTTTTACCAGGGTTCCTGAACATGAGCTGGTCGAAATGACTGCTGGGGGGTTAGATTATTCTATTAGAAAAAAGTTTGATCCTTAATCTATTACGGATATGTCTCAACTAGCTAATAAGGTTTGATATGTCAAACGTTTAAAAACAGGGAAAGCTAGAGTGCTAAAGGACCATAGAAAGGGAAAAAAATTCCTATGTAGACACAGATAATTATTCCATAGAGTATGAGGACGAATACATGGGAGAAGGAGAGGTTAATATGACCGAATTGAAATATG